GTTGTTGATTGGGCTTGCATTATCGGATTTGGGAGTCGGATTAATCGTTCAGCCGTTCTTTATCGCATTTTTGCTCTCCTTCGCTGAAAGTGGAGCAGGTACTTTCACATGTTTGACGTCTGTAGCTGTCAGCGTTTTCGGTTCTGTCTTAACATCCGTCTCATTTGGCACTGTTGTTAGCGTAAGTATAGAGCGGTATATCGCACTTTGTCTTCATCTACGCTACGAGGACGTAGTTAAAGTAAAAAGAGCGCGAAACTTTCTGATAACGCTTTGGCTTATTGGTGGAACATTGCCTTTCATTTGGGTGTGGCTCACTCCAAAATACAGATCCCATTTCTTTTCCACTCGAATACTTCTGTGTCTTGTAATTTCATCCGTGGCTTACATCAAAATTTATCGAATCATTCGTTATCACAGGAGACAAATCATAAGTACTGAAATGAACGCTAGAAACCATGAGAAGATGACCCAGCGAAAACGAAACACTTTTAACATGCTCGTAGTACATTGTGTTCTTGTTTTGTGTTATCTTCCGTACTCGATCTGCTTGCTTGTTGTCAAATCTTACGACTACACGAATTGCAGCTGGATTGGCATAAACTTTGCTCTTACAGTTGTCAATATTAATTCTTCTGTTAATCCATTTATCTATTGCTATAGAATGCGACAAATTAGGCGAGCCATGATAATGACACTATACAAAATTCTGCTGCAGGTTTCAAAACGCTGAAAGGCTTCTGACATTTTTTGTTTAGCGTGAGTTTCTAACCATAACTAAATGCACATTTATGCATTTATTTCTGCTCGAATTTACGACCTGCAGATAAGAATGGTAACAGGTAAATAGTAAATTATAGTAAAAGAGAAAACAGAAAAAAATTTAAGTGAAAAATTTATAACGCAGCCCTATTCGATGGTAGATTCTTGGGGTAAATTTATGAAAATTATGGTTATCCGTTACTGTCAATAGCTGTAGTATCTTGTCTATAAAACGGTTCGTAGGTTAAGAGAAATTACAGAGCCATTTGCAAGTTATTGGGGACACGTTGGAAATAAAAAAAAAAGGCCAAGAATGGGGATCATTGCAAAACGGACGATTTTATTTCACTTATGCATGCATGCAGCAATCCGAATGATGCAGCAGTTTGTAGAATTGACTGGCGTCGGATGTCAACATACTCCTCGCGACTTTACATTTGTTAGTTTTAGCTTGCTTGTTGTTGTTGTTGTGTTTTTTGGCATAGGAGCGTTTTAAACGGCTAAAGTCTTCCGAAAAGAAAAAAGGTCATGAATACAAAAACAAAACCCAAAACAGAATTGCAGCGGGTATGTTAAAAATTGACTTAACTGGCTGATCGATTGTAGATTGGGTGATTAGTCTAGAGTTATGGAAATTTTGTCATTAGCCCTCCAAAAAAATGTTTGTTTACAAAACAGTTGACAGGTTTACATAGAGTCATGCGACATTTTAAGGAAAGGTGGAGTAAAAAGCGAGTCCGAGAATGTCACAGAAGGAGTAAGGCCTGTTTCAAACGTCGTGCTACTGCCGTGAAGCTCGACTGCAGCACGACACTAGCACGACTTGGTTTCTGACGTCGAATTTAATTCAGTCGAATAGAACGGCTGTTGCCGAAAACAAATCACAAAAATAAAGAAACGGTTTAGCAAACTCTTATATGTATTCTAATGTATTTATAATTTATGAATTGAGTTCGGCACGGCGGTAGCACGACGTTTGAAACCAAGTCAGGCTACTGCTGTGTAGCACGGCAAGCTTTGCCGTGCTACACGTCAGTAGCACGAATTGGTTTCAAAACGTCGCGCTACTGCCGTGCTAAAGTCGAATTTAATTCGATCAATTGAGTTCGGCACGGCAGTAGCACGACGTTTGAAACAGGCCTGAGTGACTCAAAGTGACGTCAGAAATTCAGGCTAGGAGATATTACAAAACTGAATTTTAGTTTAATCATGCATGGATGTAGGCATGAGTGTGCAGGTTGTCCATAAATTTTGTTTATTTAGAAAGCATTTAAGCGTGTTACGAAATAGGAGCTTTAGTCACACGGGCACCAAGAAAATACAGCTATTTCGAGAAAGGTTGTCGGAAAAAGTGCACGCGCGACAATCCCGAAAGGTATTGTGAGTAGTTTTGAGTGCACTGTTCTTCAAAGAAATTTGAAAGAATGGTACGGGATGTTTGCGATGTTATGTTTGGGATTGCTAAAGGAAAGCAACAATAGCAGGTTCGACAGCTACAGTCGTTAGGAACAGTGTATTGATCATATCCATTCCGACAACCTTTCTCGAAATGACTGTATAAAGTCCACAGCGACAAACCAATGAGTGATGCCGGATCTCATAGTTGTAGACCTGGATCAGTACATAAGAGCTAGTTTAATTTTTATTTTCTTATAGCCCCTGTAGAAGGTTTGTTTTTAAACCCAAATATTGGGCAAATTTGTTGAAATATATATTTTTTGTTTTATTCAGTTGTTTACTTCTTCATCGCCTTGCCGTAAGGATCAGTTTGCCGTTTCATATTTTTTAACACCAAGAAAAGCTGAACACTTGAGAATGGCATGAACTTTACTACTCTAACTCTCTGCTTTGACACTGTCAAGTCAGTCTTTAACTTACTTTACATCAAGCTGAATTCGTAGTGATGACTCTGTGGTTCTTGAACGAATTTTATTTGAAATTAACCAGCGGGTGTCAACCTTTTATCAAAACACTTAATTGAGTCATTTTACCTTGTTTTTTTGTTTTGGTAAAGCACGGAAAGTCGACAGCTTACGCCGTTCTCGCTTTTCCTGGTCTGTCGTTGCTTTTTTGGTTGTCGATGACATCAAAGATGACATCTGGCGATAAACTAATTCCATGAAGTAAACTCTGTGCTTTTTTATTCAACTCTGTCGTTTTTTGTTCTTGTCAGTCTGCACTGGAAAATCAGCCAGCTCTCGAAAGTAAGTTTGCATTGCCTCGTGTGTATCTGAAAGTGAGCTAATTCCCGAAAAAAATGAGTCTGCTATTTAGAGTAAGAGTGAATATGCAGTTGAAAGTGAGACTGCATTTGAAACTGATTCTGTATAACAAAGAAGTGAATCAGATTTGCACTTTAAAGTGAATCTTTTATACAAGGTAACTGCCTGCGAGTAAGCTCTCCATTTAGGTGAGTCACGAGTATTCACGCGAGAGCCGCACGCCAAAAGAGACGCGAGTACGAGACGCGGGCGAGCCCTCGAGGACACGCCTCTCTAACGCGCGTTCTCGCCGGTCGCTTCGCCCGGAGAGCGTGCTCGCCGGTTAAGAAAGTAAGTTTAAATGGACTTTTAACCTCGCTTGGTTTGTTAATGATTTCAGGCGATAATCTACTGTGCAACATGATATAAAATAAATCATTTTGTAAAAGACGAAGAAGGTAACATTGTTCAGTACACAATTTGCGGTAGAATGGCTCCCTGACCGTTTGATTACTGGACAACTGTGTCGCAGATCCATATATACAGTTGTCGGATAAATTACATAAATCATAGCTATGAAAGTGGAAAGGTTATCAAACCCATTAGACAGCAGGGCCTTTCTTTCAATTGCTCAATTTTGGCGTACTAAAGAAAGACTCTGCATGAATCTAGTAAGCGTTGTTGTTGAGTACAGTAAACACCCGCATATAAGAACAAGCGGATTAAGAACACCAGGCTGAAATTTGGCCAATAAAGCCCCATTTTTATAAGAACAAGATTAGCCTGAAAATTGTAACTTGTTCTTATAAAATGGAAAAAGTGTCATGATTACAAAGCATGTAAGTTTATGATATAATATAATATATAATATGATCAAATTACTGGATAATTATTTATTTTATTTTGCTAAAATATGCTTAAAATATACCTCTAGCAACATGTTTTGGATAGTATTACTTAATAAAAATTTAAGAACATTTTGAGGCTGATTTGTGATTAAGCACCCGATAAATAAGAACTCAATCAGCCTGACCTCCAAAATCGTGTGTTCTTATATGCGGGTGTTTACTGTATACGCTGCAAGTTGCTAGGATACAGTTTCCAACCCAGGCTTAGAAGTCCCCAGTACCAGTGCGATTGGTACAGCGGGCTCAGTTAGGACCATTGGTTTATCAATAAACGGATGCTAGCACTTGAAAATCAGTTTGTCGAGAGAAAACAAGATTGACCAGTCTTGCCTAGTCCTTAGGCCTCATTATTCCGCTCGGCCAGAGCGTTTCAGGTCACGTGGTCCATGCGAAAATGTGAGACGTTCCCCGCCCGTTCGCCTCGGATACGTCACCGAAACGAATTGACCGAGAGGGAATGGGAAAACGCCATACAGGGACTAGGCAGTGACCAGTCCAGAAGTTCGGGCTGCAGCGTCTTAACAGGCTTGACGCAATTCAGGCAGAGCCTTTTTCTCTCTTCTTTGACGAAGAATGCTCTACTCGCAGAGTGGCGGCGACGGTGGCAGTAAAACGAGCTCTGTGACACGAATATTAAGTTAACACTGAAGCTTTATTGGCAAACTACCACAAATTAATACAGCTTGTTTTGTTACTCTTATTTCTTCTCAGTATTAACAGCGCATTGCAATAAGATAATTCTGTTCTTCTACTGTTCTATTCCATTTCTACTATTCTATTCTCTGCTTCTATAACTTAAATCCTTGTCACCACCAGAAATTAACACGTGGATTATCTTGGAAGGCCAATTCAAAATTGCTGCGATCTTTGTTAGTGTTCAGTTGAAAAAATCACGCGCTGACGAGAATGAAACGTGTAGGACTTTATGGCTGGTCACCCATCCCGAGTTCCTGGCGGCTTACGGGTGATCCGATTTTCCTAAGATTTGCAAAGTTTTGTGAGACACGTATTTTCAGTGAATATTATTTAATAATTATTCCTCGAGCCCGAATGGGCTGTGAGTAAATAGCCCATGAGACCGAAGGCCGAATGGTCTATTGACTCAGAGGCCATGAGGGCGAGAGGAATAATTGTTTTAGTAAAATCCAACTAGTTGGTCAAAAATATCGAGAACAAAAAACTTTTAGCTAGTTAAAGCTAGACTTGAATCCTTTTTTGCCGACAAAAAGCCCGCGAGTTTTGCTACTAGTGGGCTATAACATATAAACACATATTTTATTTGTGGGCTTCATTTACGTTTACATCACGCGTTCCTTTTACATTAGTCTGCATGGTATCCCTGTACCACATACCTATTTTAGAAATGACAAAGATTTAACCCATCCTGTGGTAAAAGCTAGTCACAGTTCATCTCTATGATGACGTCTATACCGATCGCGAAAGTGCCTATGATCGCGTCCACCATGGAATATTGCAGCAAAAGCATCAATGTCGTCAATTCGCTTCTTCAGCTCTGTGGGATCACGGATTTCTTCTGCCTCCATCATATAACGGTGGCTTAATTCTCGAAAAACAAACGAATTCTTTCCTGGAAAATAATCATCGTCATCAATGTCATCGAGGTCAATGACGCGCCTACGCAGTTCTCGCTTCAAGTCCTCGGGGTCGTCCATTCGCTCAAATCGACGCCGCCGCATGTCTCTTCGGACATCTTCGGGAATATCCGAGTCTATGTCATGTTCCCACGGCTCTCGCTCGAGGTAATCGTCTTCGCTCATTTCTCTCGTTCGGATCTTCCGAAGCTCACGTCTGAGACGATCGACATCGTGGATTTCTCGAAGTCTCAATTGCAACTCACGCCGTTTATGTTCATCCATTCGTCCGCTTACAAACGGCGGTTTTTTTCTGCTCCCTCTGCCTTCCTGCTGTTCCTTCGCCTGCTCTCTTATAAGACGTTGAATCTTCTCAGAGTCATCTTCGCTTTGGCTCTCCTGTTTCCCTTCGCTGTTACCTTTTTTAGCATGTTTAGTCTTTTCTTCAGGAGCCTTTTTCTTCGATTTCTTTTCCTTTTTGCTGGTTTCTTTTCTTTTGTTTTCTTCGCTGTTTTCCTCATTCACCAATTTATCTTCTTCTTCCTCTTCTTGCTTGTCCGAGCCTTCTTCCTCTCCACCTTTCTTCTCCGGTTCAGTTTCATTAAAGCAATCTATAACATAAAGAAGTCCAAGAATATCCCTGATAACAAAAAATTACCTGAGAGGATCTCCGAAGGACAAAAATCTTAATTCATTTATTTTGTTTTATTCCCCTCAACCTTCAAGCTAGGAGCTGAATGTTAATAACTCGAAACTGGCCTATTGGGTATCGACAGTAATTTCGCAATTGCGTTTGCATTTAACCTAGTACAGCATTTATACTAAGGGCCTGTTTGATTGACCGTATTCCGGAATAAGAATCAGAAATAACATAAACTCTTGAAATCACTCGTTTTGGCGTTGATTACTTTTTAATAACTAGAAATCTGCTTGCAATAACATATCCCGATGATCGTAGGGCTTAAGTGGCACTGAAAGCATCGGAACAAGAGATTTGCAGCAAAACTTTGGCGTATTCTTAGTCCAGACTATCATCAATCGAACGCACCCTAAGCTTTGTGATGGGCTGAAATCTCGCGCCACTTTCTCAACCAATCACAGATAAAAACCAAAAGCTGAACATCATGGCTTTCTTACCCTCCTCTCCTGGGTCCAGTACCCTCTCAATACATAACCAGTTTGTCAAGTTTTCGTTCTGATGGTTCCAGTACCACTCGACCAGGTCATCTTCGTACGTCTCCACCATGAGCTCGCACTATAGAAAAACAATGGCCATTTCATTAAAAAAATGGCAGTTGCAGTGTGGGAGCGGTGTAATTTTGCCTTTCAAATTTGAATTCATTGTAATTGGGTTGTAAACATTTCAATTCTATAAAGCTGTTGCTGCCTGCTAAGCAGTTGCTTTTAACAGAATACAGTTGGTTATCTAGCGTTTTTCTAAGATCTGTAGACCTCTAGCAGAGTCCAACAAAATTAATTATAACCTTTAATCTCCGGGAGCCGTTACGTTCGGAATTCAATGGTGTTTTAAAGGAAGACTACGAGTAAATACTTATTTAACTCCTTATTTTCCTAGAGTGAGAGACATACGCCAATCACTTCTCTTCACATCACGCAAAGAGCGCCCTTGCGCGAGATGACTTTCCGCGCACTTGTGTATTCTATGATTTCAGCTTTGGGAGCGTGAAAGAAAGGTGATGAAACGAGCGTGGCCGAGCAAAAACAGCGGGTTTACTCTCTCTATTCGCTAGGAAAGATTAGCCAAAGAATAAATATAACACTTAAAGCATCTAATATAAAGATATATACCCTGCTCTTAAGTCGTGTCACTTCCGCATCGGGCGTTTCCCACATCTCATCAGGAAATCCAAGTTCTACCTTTACACCACGATCCCTAAGACCTCTTAGAGTGTTAAATGTTACACTTTCCTCTGAACAATTCAAATTAATTTGTTTAATATATCGCAACAGCATATTTGAATGCAATGGATAATGAACTGTAGGACGTGAGTTTCTACTGCTAGGATACGCGAAAATCAGAAATGAGCTTAAAATGGCACTTTCCAACATATAAATCCCCATCCATGGGACAACTTCCAAGGTATTAGGGAAAACGAATGAAAGCTGAATTATCCACTGGATAGTACTATCCACCCTTTGAAGAACTGAGACCTGATGGGTCTTTTGGGTTAGCTAGATCAACTTGAATGACTGGTCACATGGGAATGGATGGGGCAGTCATCAGGGTCAGTTTAGTCTGGAACCAGGCTCCATATTAGGGGGGGGGGGGGGCGGGGGGGAGGAAAAAAGGAACTGGCAGTAAAAAACAGGGAAACAGCAATTCCTATTTATATTCACGACTAGGTGACTGGAGTGGGTGTGCAGCTTGAACTGTGAGCCTGAGTGTTTAATGCCGTCCCAATAACATACAAAGTTCAACATCATAACCAAAGAATGATATACAAATATTCTTCAAAGTCACTCAGGCTAAGCTAGTCATGTGTGCTGCCTGATTAGCAAACCCAAAAACCCAATGGGAAAAATTGGGAGCATATGAATTCCCCAACCAATGCAGTCGCACAACCTCTGGGGGTTAAAGGTAAAAAATCAATCAGTAGATAAAGAAAGATATAAAAAATAAAAGTTGTAAGTTCGAGAGCCGAGATGAATACATTACAACTGTCAAAACCTTCTATAACTTTCAACCATAGAGTCAATTAATGCCATAACAGCTCACGAGCATTCATTCCAATAGGAAAGTATTTACATTCTCTGCCACTGCCACTTCATTTGGTTCCGCCAAATTTAACTACATAAATTATTGAGTGAAGCAAGCTAAGTGGTGGATTGGAAAGAGGGAAAGGGCTCATCATACTACATCATCATGTAGTTATGTCATAGCTAGCAATTTTTTAAAGCCCTTTTACTCCTGTTCAGAGCCTGGTCCCAGAAAAGGGTCAGTTAGGATATAAATGGGTCAATTAGCCATCCCCTCCCATGGCATAAGTCCCTGACTTCCATACAGAACAAATACAATTGATCCAAAACACCACTTTCTAGCAAAGAAAAAAGACAAATAATATTAATTATATAAAAATTTAACATACTTTTCTCATATCGCAATGCTTTGATCTTGTCCTTGTGTACCTTGTAGTCCAACACTTTTGCGCAAGCATTCTCAAGAGCTTCATTCAGTCGCACTTCACTGAAAGGAGAAGTGCCTATCACTATATATTTTGTTTGTCACAAGATATTTGTATCACAAATGTCGCACGGTGGCTTGCAACAGTTTCCAACATTTTTAATACTTTACTTTGATGGATCAATATTGTCTTTCACAGAAGAGGCAATAATCAGACATAAAAGAAAGTGCATTCATTGCATATGGCAGTTTTTGGGATGTAATAGGTTACCATAGTAACATTACAACCTGTTGAAACACATCTCAATTTAAATTTCAGTGCTAATAAATCAAAATCATGTCCCTGGTGATTACTTTTTTAAATTTCCAAATTGTGATTAGCATGATAACATACAACTTTTACAAAGTTTTTTAAGCGGGTTCAGAGCCACCTTAATTTTCCAGCTGGTACAGATAATCTCCCAATGAAACAAAACAGACATAACTGGTATAATCGAAAAAATAGCACTAGTGTGGGCGTTAAAGCTCCAAAGCACTTACGATTTCCTGTAGCTTATTTCTTTGCGCTGCTCCTGAAATATCTGCCCTGTTCGGAATATTTCATTTGACTTTCCAGATCTCTCGAGTTCATCTTCTAATTCTTGCACCAGGTGTTTACAGACTAAATTTAAAAGTAAATGGGTGTTTTTAGAATTGTAAGTGTGTGTGTGTGTTTTTTTTAAAATAAAGATACCAATATTTGTTGGCTGATAATAAAAAAGAGTGCCAAAGTTTTCTTTGCACAGATCAGCCTGTGTGTCCCACTAACATTTACCCTTTTTATGATAAAGAGTTTAAGGAGTATTTACAAGGAGGAGCTGAACTGCTTAAGGGGCAGGTGGTTCAGAAATCTAAGTGGTAGATATGGTTGTTTGAGACAGTTGGCAAAGCTCTTTAGTGGTCATGAATCGAAGCAGAATAGTTTAATTGTCATTTGGTAGTAATAAAAAACTAAAGGTAAAAACTGTTTCCAACACAGCTTATACAAAGTAGGGAAAAACCTAGTGACAGTCTTTTACACAATATGCATCACTGATGCACTTAAACAAAGTTTTAATTGCCTACACACTAGTGCCCATATTCATCATAATGCAAAAAAGTTTCACTTGTATTTTCATAGTGTGACAAACCACCAACTTAGATCTCATAAACAAAAAAGGGAACTTAGCTCTTTTTTGATTAGAATGCATATTTTTCACCTGTTCATGTAATAAGCTTTAACTTCAGCCAATCAGAGATTGGAACCACGACACTGAACCTTTGAGCATGAGCAAACTGGATTTTAAGTGTTTTAATAAGTGTTCAATTATGTACCTACCACTGACATTAATCTCAATATGGTATAAGGAAATGAGTTTGCATGCAGATGAGTTGAGAATATCATTGTTCTCGCCCAAAATATCAATTTTGTATCTTCAAAGATTAAAATGCTGCACATTTCCAAAGCTGAAAAAAATAAATGAACGTCTGGAAAGTGGAGGGGGCAATGGGTGTGGGAACGGATTGGATTTTTACATTATTGCTTAACTGGCAAGTTGGTTTTAGCTTAATCATTTGAATAAAGAAAATCAAACGGTTAGATACGTCGGTCATTGACAATATAAAGTCTTGCACAAAATAGTTCACAGACGAATCATCATTTGTTCACAAAAGAGACAAATCTAACTTCAGAAAATGATTTTTTTTAATAAAAGTGGGTTTGTTGAAGTAAATGTAAAATTTGAAGCATAGCATTTAGTCAGGAAGGACCGAAGCTATCTTTAACCCGTGTTATTGTCCCAGCTGCACCAGCTGTCGCGTAAGCCAAAAGCCCGCGAATCAAATAAATATTTTGCAGTTTTGGGAGATCAAATTATGGAACAAGGTTCAAATTCGCGTTTTTTAAAGAGAGAATGTCTAGAAGCTTCGTTTCAGGGGATGCATGATGTAAACGAGATGATCCTCAAAAACCGCTTATTTCCTTGGGAATGTTTAAATTATCAAGCTTAAGCTTAAATATTCGTGATTCGTGCTTACCATGACACTTGGTTGGAAGTTTCTCTTCCTCTTCGTCAATGCTATCTCCATTGACTGAGATAAAAATGGCTAAAAATAAAACCAATGCGAAAAACATTCGCATCTTCCTTGCAGAAACATAAAAAGACCAACTAAGCTGCGGTCCACAGATGTTAAAACAAATAGCAGTAATTTCAAATTAGCAAGATGTTTGCATGACATGTTCCTAGGGTTCGAAACTGATTGGCTTTTGCTTGTCAATTGGTCCGATTTGCCATTCACAGCGATTCCCTGCCATGCAACGAGACAAAATTATTGTTCTGTTTTTCCTTTTCTTCGCAGTCCATTCTAATTTGCAGCTTATTTAAGATTTAAACAAGAAACGATTTAACAGAGAAAGCCCCAGTTTTTTCAATTCTCTATGCGGCGAACCATGAAGTACCTACTGATAATTACGTATCTATCGCTGACCAATAGCAACGGGTTTCACAAAGATGGCTTCCACCTTGGTGTCATTTTGCATTCGAAACTTGGAAGTTTTTCAGCCGTTTAGATGTAAGTACGAGAGTTTTATTGTATCGCAGTTTTCAAGAGAAGCTTTAAAAAGAATTATTTATAATACAAACTGAATTTCTTCCTGGGTACAAACAGGTTTGCCTGGAGTATTTATACAATGTCGAACGCACGCCAAGAAATCCGGGGGCCATGGAAAGAACCAAGGCAAACCCAGGAAGGGAAAGCGTTTAGGGATGAAAAGATATGAAGGTGGGCGATTATATCGATCAGTAATAAGGCTGAGTGTTAAATTCTCTTTATTTTTCAATATTATCCGCATCAGAGATGCCATCCTCTGTAGATCTGAAATCTGGAGATATTTGTTGCACTACCCCAGACTTTCCCGTTGGTCAACCCACTCTACTCAAATTAATCGACCCAGTCCTCAACTTGAGTTTGTACTAGTTGTGATAGATACTCAAAAATACTGCCAGAAACCGTAATGTATATTGAAAGTTTGTCAAGTTTATTGAAATTTGCCATGGTGAATCAACACAGTGAATGGGAGTGAAGCAGGACTTGTGTCCCAATATGCTGATTTCAACCCATCTTACTCACCTAACTAGTGACAGGTTGTGGGCTGTGTTTTTTTTCAACAATCATACTCCTGGGGGTATCTCAGAGATGACTATCTCCTTTGCAGTACTTCCAGCATCGACCACTGCCCCCCCCTCCCATAAACACAAAATGATGCAGTCTCTAAGTTATAACATGGGTGTGACTGAAGACATTATATGAAATCTTACATGAAATGCAGTCTGTCGAAACTCACTTGTTTGACAAAATAGTCTTGTCATTGATGGAATATGTGTAAAAATATCATCGCAACCACAGTGATGAAATAAACTATTTAGGGGAAAATGAGCTAAATTCTAAGCTAAAGCACAGAAAAGCTCAAAATACAATAAATGTTCAACCAAGAGATTTAGTAACCTGTATTGGTAAATGGAGGCTATTCAGGAGACTCTTGCATAATCCTGAAGAGTTGGCATATATGGGCCGTATGTTACTAATAAAAAACTTTGTCGTTACTGCAGGTGAACATGTAATCCCAGGTACTGTCCTTTTTCGGCAGTGGAAACACAAAGTTAAATTTCATCCAGGAGAAAATGTAAGCTGGTTGAAGGATTTTTGTATAACATTTGCCCACCTTAACTGCGTAAGATAGGCTTCTAAAGGTGGTCCTGATTTTTATTAGTGTAATGTTATTGGTATTGTTTCTATCCTAATGTAAAGCCAAAATGCCGAAGATGCAACTCCCTGATAGTAAGGAAAACATGAAGTCGACAGGAATAAACATGAATGTATACTTGTAGTATGGTTAGACTAAGGCACCAAGTTATTCATGGGAAACAGCGGAAAGCCAAACTAAGAAAAAGAAAAACAAGAGCTTCAAGAGAAAAATAAAGACCAGACTTAAACCTACATAGTTTAAACAAGAAGACAAAGACTATATCTACTGTAAGATGGCACTGACATAAACAGTGAAAAAGGTTTTGACAGTAATAATTTGTTATAATTATGTATTAAGAAATGGAGAGATTAAAGTAGCTGTAAAGAAGTTGAAAAAAAGTTTGTAGTTTTAATGTGATTGATACATGTTAAACCCCTTAAGCCCCAGTATCCACATACCACAGTGGAACCTCGATATAACAAACCTCTGTATAATGAAGTCCTCAGTATAACGTATGATTTTCTTTACCTCATTAATAGTAAAATGAAAAGTACCACGTTATACTGAACAAATTTTGCCAGCCCTTTGGCATGTCGTTATATATTTGAGCTTCCGCTGTAATTCTCTAGCCTGCTTTCCACACATTTCGTAGAGATTAAGTTGAGTGAATTTTAGGTATAATCATGATTCTGTATTGATATTGTTTTGAAAAAATTAATCTTGATCACTCTCTTGCCTCAGAAGTTAAAAAAATAGAAGTAATTATGAGAAGCAAGACACTAAGGCAAACCAAACTTAACTTTTCATAAATTTTTTCTTTCTTCTCTCAGGTTGGAGTTGGCAAAGATTGGACATTATATGCACTAGCTGAGGGATTTGTTAAATACAAGAGAGAACTGCTTGAACCTTATGCGTGGGGTTATGGTCTACAAAACAAATTCCATGAGAAAAAGTTTATTCATGTCATACAGAAACAGCCCTTCATTGGACCAAAGCTTGTTCCTGCTCATGATGTTTATAAAATTTCTGAAAGATAATACTTACTGAAATGAACTCTACATGTAGGCCAGGCTCCTTGCTGGTTTGCATGCCATGGGTGGTGAATTCTTGCAATGGTGGTCTGATAGAGCCCTGTTTGTGGATTACGAGTTATCCCTGAACAGCATTAGTGGCCTTAAGCTACACCGTTTCTCTCTATGGGTATGGGTAGACAAACATGTTTGCTATGTTATACAAAAGGTGGCCATGATTTCTTAGCCACGGTGATAATGGCCTCAACCCTCTACCAGGTAGCCTGTTTCTCCAGGATAAGAGGCAATAACAGCTATGTGTACAGGTTATTTTACCTGCATCCGTACACAGAAATGGTGTATCTTAAGGTCTCTACTGCTGAACCTTGGATGCACATATTGAGGAAATCCATAATTAGACTGATATCTCCAATTCTTTGGATTTGTCATAATAAAAGAAACACAACCGCTACTGAAAATGGATTCTATAGTGTGAGAATGTAGCAGGCCTCAAATTTTCACAGGAAAAGGACTGGGAGAAGTACTCAATAAATAATCCACAATGTTTATGTGAAAATTAATTTACCCAGGCAAAGAAAGCTACTTGTATATATATGAAAGAATGGAAAATAAAGATTTATGAAGAAAGTGGGATGTTTTCACTGACAGATAGTCTTTTGTCCCTATGTAGTGAAACGACTTAGCACTGAAAGAAAGGAGTGAAATTACTAAAATATGCAGCGAGACGACTTGTAGTGAAATGAATGGTAACCCCAACCTTTCCTCCCACCAGCCTCACTAGGTTCTGCATAGTTATGAGGTTATCAGTGGTAATGATGCAGGACTTGTTGACTTTTGTTGCCAATTTTTAGCCGGGGATAGGGTGATTGGATCACTTTTGATCCACAGGGAAAGACACAGAAACTTTATTAAAGGAATAACATAGCGTTTTTGTTCCTGTTACTTGACTTTTAAACATGTGTTATAAACCACCCATTAACAATATTAGAAAAAGTGTTTTGAAATCAGTCCTAGCTGCACTAGGGGTGTAGCTACCTGTACACCTGTTATGCACGTGGGCACCTCAAAAAGTAAAAGGTAAAAAATAAAAATTTTAGTAACCTGTATCCCCTCAGCTGCAGGGGTAGCTAACTTGTCTGCACATAAATTCCTGAAAATGTCAAACAGTACAATAAAAATAACGATGTACAGGTAGCCAGCTGGGATGGTATCAATTGTGAAAGCGTTGTTTTCACTTTGGCCAGTCTTTGCAAGAGATGAAGTGGGCAACAATTCCGTAATGTGTACCTTCCGTAAACATAGGGTTGCGGCTTTTATCTACCTGAGGTAAACAGAAGTAAACAAAGTATAAAGTAAATCAAACTCTTAGATTACTAGCTTGTTGGCTTAAATTATTAATGATATGCAATTCAATGAATATGATAAAGAAAGGGAACAAAGAATTTTACACCACTTCATATACAGGGGTTTAAAGGATGGGGGGGGGGTTTGAAAATTGTGCATACCTCTGGAAAAATTCTGGCTATGCCCCTGAGTTGTTTTTTCAGGACAACCCAAGACTTACAAAACAATTTCACCACATGCAGTTGACAGGTGCACTTTTTTTCACTTATAGTAGTCCCTTGAAATACTGCACTTTGTGACGTGAGGCTTTACTGTATCCTCTGTTGCTATGAAGAGAGATAATCGTAGCCTGTCGGTGGGCAATAATTATTGTGATCACAGGAAAAAATAACAGATCCCCATTTTTGGATATTTTAGGGTATTTAAAGAATACCCACAAAAATCCCAAATTTGGAAGAGTGAGACAAGTCCCAATCAGGGAACTTTGTTGGGAATTCCCTGGTTGGGACTTGTCTAGCCTGCGCGCAGACGAAATTAAACTCTGGTTAGTTTAGTTATCGTCTGCACGCAGGCTAGGACTTGTCTCACTTTGGCAAATTTGGGATTTTTATAGGTATTCTTTAAATACCCTAAAATATCCAAAAATGAGAATCCGTTATTTTTTCCTGTGGATCTTGGGTGGGTGGGTGGGTGAGGCGAAAATCGAAAATGGTGCTTTCCGGGGTCACTGTCCTCGCGGTGATACCTGGGATATCCAACATGGTGGACATTGGAGGGTTGTTCGAGTCTTCTCGTCTTCTGGACTGGGAATTAGACTCGATCAAAGCCGACCAAGACGAAACGCTAGCAAGATCGCTTATCAATTACCGCCATCTTAAAACTGAGATACAAAGTCAGTGCTTCTCGCTAAGCGCTCAACAAGAGAGACTCGATGAAGAAAGTACGGAGAGCAGAGTCGAACCCTTAACTGTCTGGGTGATGGGGTCTTGGGGAGCTCTCGAATCGGTGGATGGAAGAACTGAAGATGCCGAGGAATATGCCAGGAGGAAGCGCGAATTGGACAAGAAAATCGTGATGCTGAAGATTCAAGTGTTGTGTTTAAAACAAGTACATGTGAGTTCCTGTATAAAGCAAATTCAAGTAAGCGCTATGTTTTCATTTTAGTTGTCCATTCATCACCTTTTATACATTGATTTAACAACGCTGGAAAGACATTCTTGACAGTCAAGACAGTCTATAAGTCACTTTGGACAAGAAAGTAGGCTGGCTGTATTAACAGTACACAGGGCCATGCATTCCATTTTATACGCCCTTCCCCCTCCCCCCATAGATGAAAGTTTCTGAAAGGGTCTGATCTGAGATTTTCCAAGGGGTCAACACTAGGGTATTACTCTGTGAGCTGAGATTTCTATCTGGGTAGACTTAAATTATTTATACAGTTATTTGCATCGCTGACATTCATGTAGCTGGTTGAGGGGCTTAAACAAGCCAGCTACTCAAATTACAAAATGACACGAACAACTTCGTAAACTCTAAAAGCTTTCCCAGAAAGAACCCTATGCTCCCAGGGTACCTCGAAATTTTTTGTGAAGGCAATAAATATTGTTATCCAAAAATAAAATGCCATTTCTGAAGGAGGAAAATACTAAGAGTAAGGAGAAAGTTTCATCAGCGATATACACTACAGAAATTTTTGACAGGGCTTAGGTGAAGTTGGTATGGGTGCCAAAAAGAAGCTTGGCAAATGTCATTTACACTACACCACTAAAAATATGCAGTGCCCAACTTTTTTGGCCCCTTAAGTTCTCTTGGAGACATGCTTAGTTTAAAGGTAAAGATGGCGGATGAAGATTTGATGATTTCACAAAGCTCAAAGCTTAACTATCGACACCAAAATTGGCAACAATTTTCCGGTAAGACTCGTCTTCCTTAGAAAATGGAAGATAAAAGGGGAACTTTCATGTTCCTAGTGGTATGAAGAGTTTGGACATTTCTCTATACCAGTGACTGGCTTTGCATAGCCAAGACAACTTTCACAGTGGAGAACGAGCAGTTATCTTGAAATATTTGCAAGAAAACCGCTAGTATTTATGAATAATTTTAAAGGCTCACGTTTGGCCTGCCAAAGTGTTTTCACTACTTGTTCAATCTGAGCCGTACCGATTTTTCAGCACCTGTGCCATTTTCACCAATGCTCGGACTACCTTGCTGAAGGTCCCAACAGGTAAAAAATTTGGGCTTGGCACAGATGAAATTTGGTACAGACAGGTTGTTTACACTCCAGATTGTACCCGAGCCAAACCTTTCTTTTGGGGACCCATTCCAATTTCACCTGAGCCGTTCCATAAAATTTCTGTAGCATACCTGCCAACTCTCCAGGTTTTCCCGGGAGTCTCCAAGTTTTTCATCAAATCCCCCGATCTCCTGGTTAGAGCATCAAATCTCCCGGATAAAATGGACGTTTGAGCATTTCTGTGCTTTAGTTTGAAGTTTAGTCAATTTTTTCACAAAATTCGAACTTTCTTTATTCATTGTACGGTTTCTGGGACATTTTTGCACATGTTTAGTCAATGACAAAGATTAGTTTGTCATTACAATGATAAAAGCGCATTTTGATCCCATGTACGTCATGTAAGATGTCACAGAATGTCCTAAGGCAATTTGTTGGTGCGGGGGGGAGGGAGAGTGGGGGTGTTGGTGCTGTTGACATTCGGGGGTGGGCAGGGGGGTGGGGGGTGTAGTGCAAAATAGAGAGTCTCCAGATTTTAGATCTCTGGAGGTTGGCAGGTATGCTGTAGTGTAAACCAGGCTATAGTTTTTCTGATAAAGAGTGCTATTAGGGTACAAAACACTAGATTTAAAAGGATTAAAAAAGCACCTTACCTGTGCATATCCCTCCGAAAAGGGGAAATAAAGTTTTAATCAAGGATAAAAGTCAACTGCAGAATCACCACTGGAGTAAGTGGAATAGTGTTTTAGAAGTATAAATATAAAACAATAATTCTTTCCTCTTTTTCATGTTATATCTTTATTCAGGAAATGGCAGCATTAGGCAGCAAGGCATCCACTCCTGCTGCTTTACAGTTTCACAAATTTCAAGAATGGTCGCAGTCGAATCAACAAATATTCACACTACAGTCCAAAATACTTGATCTAGAAGCAGCTAAAATCAGGTACAGTATGTTAAAAAGTTGTTATGTAATATGTTCAAGAAACATGAGACAATAATATTTGGTCACATATTATAATGTGTTAGTGGAGTATTTTTGACAAACACCATTTGGAGTATTTATTTGGAGGCTGTTCTTAGTGGTTTTTGCAGAAGAAGAAGTACCCTTATCAAAATTAAAGCATGGTTGGTATACTTTTTTTATACAAAAAGTGCACAGTGTTTATATAACACTGCTCTGGTGTATACCGTAAAATTCCGAAAATAAGCCCCGGGGCTTATATTTTTCAAAGCCCTTTTTGAGGGGCTTATTTTTAGAGGGGCTTATATTCGGAGGGGCTTATGTACTGAGGGAAATTTGCGTTTCAAAATCGATTGGGCTGGCCTTATTCTTGGAAGGAAATTTACCGTTTTTCTTTGTTTTACCTTGTATTTGAGGGCTATTTCCAAGTACAAACCCCTGGGTGGGGGGGCGGGGGGGCTTATATTTGGAGGGGCATATATTTGGAGGGGCATTTTAACGGAGGGTTTTTTGCGTTACGAGTTTGGGGGGCTTATATCTCGAGGGGCTTATACGTGGAGGGGCTTATTTTCGGAATTTTATTGTCTATTTAGTGTACCTCAAACATACATCAGAGAAAATTCCTTCTTGCCACACTACATCTGATGTATTCTTTGTGTGTGCAGCTCTACTGAACTCTACTGACCTAACTGTTAAAAGGTGGTGTCAATAAATTTGTGTTATCTATGTGCAGATTACACAAAGACTTCTGTGTACGAGAAGGGAAAGAGTCATCCCAGTCTTCTGTAACAACAAGACAGTCCTTTACTTCACATCTGGAACTAAAGCTTGGTGCAAAAGAACCAGACAGCTCCTCAGGAGAGCTGAAACTTGAAGAACTTGTTGTAGTGTCAGAAGGTGCAATGGCCATTGCAAGTATTTTAGACACATTACTAGACACAAGCTACTCAAACACAAGCTTTGAAGCTTGTAAGTTGAAGGCTTACATACGTGAATGCTGGGATGTGCAGAGCATAGATGATGAGTTTCCTACTGGAGTACATCCTGACAGATATCAGGAATTTGTTGGTGGAATGGCGCAATATATTGTCGATAAACAGCTCTTGCATCAGAGGGAAAGCCTGTCTTATGACATGGTCTATGTAAGTTACATGTTCAGTCACTTCAGTGAAGTCTAATCATTATAGTTTCTGTATTTATAATGTATGCTAATTTGGAAGCAATCACTTCTTTGTTGTTAATAGTTTGCATTTCTGCGACAATTATTGGCATAAGGGAAGTTCTTATAATATTAAAGAAGTTGTGTCATGAAATAGCGGGAACTGTCATCAAACTGAGTGAAATATAAAAATTACCACTCAAAACATTAAAAGATGGTATAAATAACAGAGCAGATACAATAGAAGGCAGGAATGGACTAACTTAAAGAAGATGAAAACAGATTGAAATTGTGGTTTTTGAAAACTGGTTAGCCTAACAGTTTGTCAAACTTTATTCTTGACGGGGTTGTCACTAAAATTTCAAGTTGTTGGGTAAATACAACAAGTAGGTGGGGAATCAAACAGCTACAGATGTAGGAATTTTTTTGGTTCTATTTTTCCTCTGTTCTCCTTTGAAAGTAGCTAAGGCCACGTTCATAGTAGCCGGTGGAAATCCCCTGCCTCTGCCTCTTAATGACAGCGCTTCTTGATGTCTGTAATGTTTGATAATGCTTAGGAGAGATATTTCTTTGACACGGAGTTGTGATTTTGTAATTTACCGGTATTGTTCTCACTAATGTTAAGTTTTGTTGAGAATAAACACTTGTAAATGGCAATATTAGCCAAATAAACAAGACAGCCCTGAAAGTACAGCCCCTTTAAGAGAAATCACCTTCAGTTTTTATTTTTGTAGAGTAAATTGGAGCAGTACTTAATGCCATCTATCTACAGTCTCGTTCAAGAGCACATCAGTAAGCCTGAAGAGGACAACAGAATCTCACAGGTTTATTCAAGCCTTGAGCATATCACTCAGACTCAGTTTGGCATTAGTCCAGAGTATCAAGACGACAGTGTTGTGCCTTTTTATGCAGCAGTGGGATGCATGAAGAGTATGACACTGTCGATACTTCCTTCGCGAAAGATTCATGCTATTGTAAGTGCTGCACAGGCTGTGTTCAAAAAACTGAATGAGCTCTCAATGTTGGAACGCTCCAGACCACCAGGGGCAGGTAAACATTATTTAAAAACAAATTCTCCTTTTGTTGTTCCTAGTAATGGAGAAAAAAATGCTTAAATGTTAGAAGAAACCATGATCTAGGGCATTCCTAACCTGTTTTTAATTATCATAAAGCCCTCACAACAATTTTTGAGCGCTGATTAGTACATTGGCAGGTTTACTCTTTATTAAAAGGTTAAATGTTCATTACTTGTTAATAAAGACATCATTTTCCAGTAATGGAAGCTACAAATTTTAAAAACATCAAAAATATTATTTACTAAATGTTAGAAAAGTAGTTATATCATGTGAAAGTTCAACTAAACAGGTTTTACTTCAGTCGTTAAGCCATGGGATTTCTTCCATGCACATACATTTCTCATTTTTGGGTCATTTTTCACGGGAGGTGAAAGGGTTATGGGTGCATGTTATGACGAAGTTTAGATGGTGTTAACGGAACCTCATTCTAGGCTGTTTTCATTCTTGCTAACCCTGATTTCATTGTCTGCTGTTAAATGTAACTAGAAGGCTTTAACAGCTGTGAGGCTTTAAAAACCATCCTTAAATCCACTTGCAAACAGATTTGGGGCACTGACTTTCTTAAACTGAACTTTAACATGTAGACTTCATTCACATAATATTATCCCTAGTGACTGTGTATGCATTGACTTTGAAAGCAGTGATTTTTTGTAATGTTTTCTCACTCTCTCCCTCTTAACAGATGAGTTCATGGATGTTTGGGTTTATGTTGTTCTCAAATCCAGAATCCCTAACCTGGCCTCAACAGTTACATTTTTACGCAGGTACTCCAATCCTAACCTGTCATTCTCTGAAGCAGGATATTACCTTGCCAGTGTAGAGTTTGCATGTCAGTATCTGCGGCAGATAAATGAACAAGACTACAGAAACAAGTCACCACTGTTGGGGGAAAAGATTGTTGTTTGTGAGCAAGACCGGTTTGCTAAGATGACAGAAGAGGAAGATGCAGTATTTGAACTTGTTTCAGTAGATCAGTGGCTTCATGGTTATGAACTGTTTGCTGTGAAGGAATGGCACTTAGATCCAACAAGGTAATAACAGTTCACTGTTTCAGGTGATATGCTTGGGTGCACTATGTCCTGATTCATTGTTGCTGTGGAATACTCAGATGTACAATTTAGTGAGTTTTTGCTACTGCAGAGCACAATCTGCCATTCCCCCTCCCTGGGGCCTGTTTCTCGAAAGTTCCTATAATTTTTCGGGCCCGAAAAGCTGTTTTATGTGTGCCGTGTTTGCACTTAAGATCAAAGTTTCATTAATTTTGAAAATGATACAATGAAAATATCAGTTAAAGAAGCAAAACTGACCGGTTTGTGAGCTAGGAACTTTGCTACTATTCAACTGGTTTTGATTTGAAAGTTTCCCTTCGGACCCGAAAAGTTATCAGGCCTTTCGAGAAACGGGCCCCTGGTCCATACTTTATGACTGGTTTACTTACACTCTAAGTGTCACTGATTACTTTTGGTTTGCTTGACTTCTTTATCGTTCGTTTGAAAATGAAAAGAAGACCTGTAAGATGCTTATGTGCTTCCCCTTGGAGCTTCAACTTAAGTCAACTAAGATACCCCAGTGGTTACATTGAATAGTACATGAGTTGTTACTCAAATCTGGTAGTAGATGGGTCAACAATGAATAGCCTAAGTAGCATGATCGTCTTGGTGCTCGTAGTCCTGAATAGGACTGCCGTTGACAGTGACTGATGTTTCGACAACCTCTGCGGTAGTCTTCTTTAGAGTCAAAGTGAGTTGATCACGTCAGTTGATGGTATAAAACTCTGTTTATTGACCTGATTGGTCAATTAAGTTGTAATGTTATTTATCGTCTATCACGTAAGCCGTGATGTTATTGGCTATGAGGACTCTAACTGTTGTTGGTGCGTTTCGATCCGTCTATTTTCACAGTTGAGCAGTCGTTTACTGTTAGTCTAATTGTCGGTTATCCGCAAGCAAGCTCTCCATTTCCAGTGGCAAGCAAGGCGAGCCGTGAAACTATACGTGAGCGCGAGCGTTGACTTGTCACGATTCCTTCAAATGGTTAGCTTGCTGGCAGGCTACCAGCAAAGAGTGAGTGGGTTGCAAAGGGCTGGATGGCCGTATATTTTAAAGCTTTCATTACTAGGTTTCTAGCTGAGTTTGGTGAAAGTTACTTTATAAACCCCTTGTTCGTAAATTGATCTAAGTTAACACTATCTTATTAAATTTGTAGGTCAGTTTATCGGACTGTCCTTGTACCTTCATCCGACAAAACGAAGAAAGTCAAAGTTTCTGTTGTCAAGTTGAAAGCAGAAAAAACTTCACTGGCACAAATAGAAATGCTTGAACAAGAGTTTCTCTGCCCAGGAAACAAAAACGGTTTGCTTTGCAATCACACGGCCTGTGGAATTACAGTTACGCTAAATGTGGATCATGTAAGGGATGCAATCACTCTTATTCAAATACCTGACGGAGAATATGATACATATGAGCATTTAGTAACAAGCTTCTGTTCACTGGACAAGCTGGCCTGTGGCTATACGCCCCCTCCGAGAAATTCACCTGCAGTTATTGTAGATATGAGCACTGTTTCAGAAACCTTGGAAAGAATGGATGATATCGTGTCCAAAACATACAGTGTTCGCAAGTCACACGGTGGTGGAATTCAGGATTTAATCAATGCACTAATTGTAACTCTCAAGAGACTGGGGTATTTGAGTTCTCTGATTGAATCACCTCTGGTTTACTCTGAGTTAATTCAAATGGCTGTTCAGAAATTTCAGATTGATTATAATTCAAACTGTAAATTAGCTGTACCGTTACTACCGAGTGATGGCTTACTGTGTCCGGACACATGGAAACTATTACAGCGTAGGCTTCCAAGAGATGCAGTGGGAGAGTAAATTGATATTAAATTTTTAAATTTCGTCTTTGCTATATGGAAGAAATGATTAGATCGACTGAGATGTCTGATGTAGCTTATACTAAAGTAATCTAAGCAAAGAGGAAGGAATGTACATTGCTGAACGAATTATTGAAAGATGTTTCAAATGAAGATATGATCGTCGCAGTAATAATTGCAATTTAAGCAAAAACTTCGAGGGGTTCGGTGCAAATTTGTCCGAAAAAAATGTCGGGACCTCAACGGGATTCGAACCCATCGAAGTATTTTTCGGGTAAATTTGCAATTGCTTTAATTGCAATTACCACTGCGACGATCATATCTTCATTTAAATTTTTATTTCCGAAGTTCACATCATCTTCATTCCATGAAAGATGTGTTATTTACAAAATTTGTACGTGCATTAAATATAAAGTATTGTAAATAATTAAAATACGTGGAAAAGTCATTACATTAAAATTCTTGCAAGTAATGAACTAAATACACTCTAATACAGATATATTTTTTGAGGTGCAGGAGATTTACATGGTATAGAACTTTGGTGAACGAAGCAGAATAACGAATTTTCATTAAACAGGCCGCAATAAAACATAGAAACAAGGCGTAACTTCAGCGTTCATTTTTTGAAAATTATTAAAATAAAGTTACAGTAAAACTCCTTTCTGCATTCCGCCCCCCCCCGCCCCCCGCTTCGGGTGTTTTCTTGTTTTGACAGTCTTTCTTTGTGAAAAGTGATACCGTAATTTCGCAGTAACAAGATAACATCAAGGGATAATGAATTTTGAATTTTGGCCAATTTGCAATTTGCAATGACAGGGTGCATCCCTGGGGCACTCAAGGGAAGTGTTAGAGGTGGGGGGGCTGACGTGGAGGCACTCGTGCTTAAAGCCTGATGATCCCTGTTTGGGATAAAATCCTTTCATTTCGCTGCCTAGTGAGAGGCAAGAGACCTTTATAATTCGTCGTAACCCTGACTCGTTTCAATGGCAATTAATTGATTGATATTGAAAATCAATACAAATGAAAGCCGCAGTCTTGAGTGATTTTCGATATTCATTGATTTACTTTGATTTTATTGATATTTATTGAAAACTGAAATGTGCTTTCTTTTTTCTTTTGTGGTCCCGTCACAGTCCTGTAAACCCCGGGAAATGAATCCAAGAAAAGAACCAAGAATAAGACCAGAACATATTAAGAATGGAAATCGAAATTACTGTAGTCCCGGCTGTTTATGATTTGTTTAAATTATTCAACAGACTGTTTTACTTCTCGGTTTACAGTACTTATGCGCAAATATCCACTTGATGTGGTCAAAGTGGGCTGACAAGATCTGCTTGGAGATGGCCAAGCTGGCCTCTTTCACTCCAAGCTTTGAATGCGTCACCGTGTTCTCCCCTCTTCTTGGAAACGGAAAACACTTCCCCTTCCTTTACTTTAAAAGGACAGTGGTGATACACCTTGACTACACAGGAAACAGAAATTTCCACAGTCATGACAGCGAGTGTGTTTGCGAACCAGCGTTTAAGCAAATGCCTACCCTGGTTTTTACTGTTGCACTATCAGCTGTTGATTATCAATACAATCAATGAAAATCAATGACGTTTAGACGCATCGGTGAGTGATAATCAATAGATTTTTATTGATTATATTGATTGAAATCAGTGATTGATTTTCATTGATTGTTGTTGTCTAGCTTGTAGCAAATGGTATGGGTACTAGGCTCGACCCATTCCACCGTTTCGCGCAATCATATCCAACATGGCGGCAAAACGTGCGCGTTTTGCAGGCATGGATAACGGCTACAATCTGCGATATCTGCGCTTAGTCGTTTGCAAATAACATGGTAATTTGGAACTTGATTCATCATTACCCGAGGAATCACTTGCATTCTGTTTTGTGCCGCCACTTTGGAAATCGTAGTGGAACCGTCTGGAGTACTTTCTCACGACCACCATCATTTCAAATTAAAGCACGTTGTTCGGCCTTGATCTGCGCGGGATCATCTAAACCTTTCTCTGTGTGGACCAAAGATAATCCTTCTTGTTCATGTCTGGGATATCTGCATAGATCTTTCACCATTCCAAAGTTAAGTTTGCATTCCTCAATAAATTTACTACAAGAAAATGTTGATGATGTAGTTCACAATAATTTGGAAGAAAGCGACAACGAAAAGGATGTTAAAAATCGCCAGGAAAGGATATTGAATATATCACTTGTCAATACCAAGGAAAATGAGAAAAACTGTGGGAGGAAAGATCAAGATCAGCAGATCCAAGTGGAGAAAAATTCTTTAGACAGTGAAAGTTTGAACAACTCAAGTACAATTGCTGAGCGTGTATCAGTGTTAGAAAATGCAGACAATTCTGCCGAGGGAAGCTTGTCAGAAACAGAGAATTCTGGAAGTATTTCACGGCAGAAGACAGTTGCACTTACACCAGGTAGCATTTTCCCCTCCAGCAGCTAACAATTCTGGGCTATTGCCACCACCCCTCCCCCCCTCCTCATTAAGGCCTTCAGTTTTCTTCTTATCTCTGAACTAGGAGAGTTTGACAAAGTTGCTTTGATCACTAAAAGACTTCCATTGGAAATGGGTTTTGCCCTGAGGAATTTAATGAAAACCTAATGTTACCACTAAAACATCTTTATATTTGCTTTGCTTTGTCCCTATGTTGGACTTACTGAGACAATGTGCAAGGTTTTGTCTGGTACAGTAAACCCATGTTTCTCCTTTATTTTACCATTTTCTTGCGATAAAACTGCAGTGGCACATGGAAAATCATCAGTGACTGGACCCTATAGAGAGGTGGAAATTGAGCCCATCCCAGACCTAACACCATACAATTCGCATTGACGATGTTTAGCGCAACACAGTGTTGCAATATTGTTGCAACATTGTTGCAAATGGATGCAACATTGTTCCAACATTGCAGTGGTGTGTTTCACTAAAAACCATTATTGCCAATCGTCTCGTTTAACATCATGTTTATAGTGTTGTGGCTTTTTATGGTTAACAGTACTGGATCTACCAGTGATTTAGTCACAAATAATATTGCTCTTTTCTCTCCTGTATTTGTACCTTAAAAAATCACTGTTTGGTTACTTTTTTTGTTCTTCTTTCTCCATAGGAAAAGTAAATAAATATTTAATTGGCTTCTTTGAAGATAAGAAAGTTAGAAAAATTGCACTTGAAAATGGTATAACTGGTAAGGACTCTTTACTAGTGCTTATCATCATTACTGATAATTCATAAACTATGATTTTAAATCTTTCTATTGTGATTGTGAACCAGTTTCATTTTTGTCGGCCGTCCTGTATTTTATTCATTGCTACATGAGTCGTTTTTGTGTCATTTAAAAGTCTCGAGGGTGTTTTGTACGTTTATAAGGACATTTAAGTGTTTCCTTAAACGTCATGGTAAATTAAGTGGATTTTCTCTTAAACAGAATAGCAATATGGACAGAGTTTTTCTCAGTTATAAAGATTGAAAGCTTATTGCTGATGGCACACAAAATGACTTATTATTTAATTTCTTATTCTTAAGTGGCAGGTTTATTCAAATTTGATGTTTGTTAGTCTAACATTGGCATTCTTGTTGAACCTCAACGAGGATGCCAAAAAACAGACAGGAATATAAGAAGTGTATGTTTGTAGCTATATATATATATATATATATATATAATGTCTTCTTACTTTTCTCATTTTGTTTTAACTTGTTTTAGGAAAATTATTTCACCAGATTTTTCAAGAATTCAGAAAAAAGATTCTTTCACAGATGAAAAAAGGAAACAGGGAAATGTTGAAAAAATTCAGTAAATTATATCATGACTCTGGTAAGTCTGCATAATTTGAGGGTAGAGGGTAATTTCAACCAATTTTATTATTCTTAGAGTCTGACCCTGACAGTGATCCAACAGCTCAAGTACTAATATATAGAGGATTTTACACGGTGGCGTGAAGATATGAATTTTATTGTTCTTTTTATTATATAGACAAAAAGACATCGATAAAATAATAGAGGGAAATTACCGAAATTACGTTATCGATAAACTCACGTGTGAGATAATGGAAAATAAACTACTTGGGTCCCGGATGTAGTTTTTATGAATTTTACAAGTGGTATGTCTTTTCGTAAAACAATCGTGTCTTTATAATAAAATGTGGTATTTTTGGAAATATCCATCCCCCTTAAATAAAGTGACTACTATTAACAATAACTCCTTCTTTACGCAATTGCATAAATTGCGTTCACTGCGACGATCATTTCTTCATTTTCATAATAACTCCTCCACTGGATAAAAATTTTAGTTTGGTTACAAGCAAAAGCTAAGGACATAACATCCCCACCAAGTAGGGATGGATGTCATTGTTTGGATCTCTTTTGACTGACCTACAATAATCACTGTAGTTTTGATTTCACGACATCCATCGTCCATTTTTAAAAACATTAATTTAATTTTTAAATTCTGCAACTTAATGTCACTTTGTTTATCATTTACAGACCAAACAGACAATTTGTTGCCATTATTTTTGGCATTTGCTCGTCGGGTCCATCCCATGTTAGACTGTATTGATGAGGTGAAAAAGATATCAGACTTGCGTGGTCCTGCAGATCTGTGAGTCAATAAATATTGCTCTCCCCTTCAATAAATGTTGCTGTCGGTGAGTGATTTCTCTCAGTGAAACCACTTACCTGTGACTCATGGTCCCATTTAAATTTTGAATGAGTTTTTATTAACTCCCAGGTGTTACATGCATAAATAAACTACTTACTTACTTACTTAACATTCTGATGTCATTTCTGTGGTTGTTAAGAGTATAGAGCATGGAAAATTGTTGTCAATTTCTTAAAATAATGTTGTTTTACGAAGAGTGGAAGTTATTCCTTTCACAAGTTATTCTCTTTCCATTGTAATGTTTTTTTTTTTATTAGAAAAGACCATGTTAGATATTCTTGCTCAAAACAGAAGTGGCTGGACTAAGGGGTCACAAACTCTGTATTACAGTTATGAAACTCTTACTTTTGACTGTGTTAGGTTTCCAGAAGCAAGAGCAATTAAAAGGAAAATTATATACCATGCTGGTCCCACAAACAGTGGCAAGACTCATTCTGCTCTGGAAAGATTCCATGCTTCTGATTCTGGTGTATATTGTGGACCACTGAGACTTCTAGCAACAGAGGTGTTCAGACGAACTAACGAGGCTGTGAGTTAAAAACTGTATTTAGTGTTGTATCAAACATTATGTAAGATTACTCTAAGAGAAAATGTATACAGATGCTATGTTTACAGGACCATTTCCAAAACAAATTTGTCGTAAGATACTAGATGCTAGAACTAACTAAAGGCAATGTGATGGTTCAGTTCTGAAAAGTAAAAAGGGAAGTTAACGTAAAAGAAAATTCAAGCCAGGCAAAGACAACTACCAATTTGAAAAAGAGTAACAGTCTGAAACTCCAAGGTGAAAGTAATGCATTCAGATACCTGTAAACTAGAAACAATATGCAAATTCAAACTAGTATTTAAAGTTCCGTAAATATTATGCTTGCATGTGAGGAGGCAAAAGAATTTCAAATTACAGAACGATAGGCTCCATTATGAGAGAGCAGCAGAAATCAAGCCCAACAAAGCAAAAAATGGTAAATTAGTGTAATATTATTGCAGCAGCATTAAGGTGAGTATATTATCAATTTTAAATCAATGGTGGCTTAACCATAGGTGAAGCAGGGTCAGAGTTCTCACCTCCCACCAAATATGTTCCTGGGTTCATATTTATCCTGATGGTGGCCTTCAGGGCGCTTTCCAAAATAACGTCAGAAATGACCGGCCAGACCAAGGTTGGACCAGACATTTTGGCAATGAAATAGGCTTTTTCCAAGAGGTTTTGCTGAAAAACCATCTCCTTTGTGCATAATATTTAGGATTCGACTGATCTTGATCGTTAGTTTTGATTAAAAGCGAAGTTCTTATCGTGATGGGAAAGGGCTAGCCAGTCAGTTATGACAAATGAAAAGTGCCCTCAATATGTGTGTTGGTTTGTTCTGGGGTTACCTTGCTCTGATAGGGTGTTTGTCTGTGTTCTCCAAAAGACTTGAATGATTATCATGCTTGTTTTGATTTGTTACCAACAATCCAGGGAATACCTTGTGACTTGTTAACTGGTGAGGATAGACAGTGGGCCATATCACCTGATGAACCTGCCAATCATATTGCAGCAACTGTTGAGATGTGTTCCACAAGAAGGCCTTGTGCGTGCTTATGCTTTGGTTCTATAGATAAAAAGATTTTTTAAGTACATAAAAATAAGCTGAGGTCAGTCAGTTGGAGAAGAGGTTTAATATAGGGGAAAGAATTTGTTGGGTAATCAGTGCTCCAAGTTCAACCTTTTTTCAAAGTTGCCTTTTGGCGACCTAAAATTATAAAATGGTTGCCAGGCATATATGTTAAAGTAACTGTTAATTTTATATTTCAGGTAACTTATATTTTTTCTTTGTTTCAACTTCATTGGCATACATTATCATGCCCACAAACAAAAGAAAAAAACAAAAATTATCTGAGATAAAAAATTAACTGCAACATATTTGTACAATATTGGTTGTCACAATAAAGGGCAGTTTGTACAACATTACATGAAAGGTTTGAAATAATCAAAATGGCTACCCAACTATCGCAGGTGCACACGACATCTCAGAAAACCCAGGAAGACAGAGTATATATACATGTCAATTAATAATACATGTATTTCGTGGAAATGTTTCTCCTTGAATTCTAAACACTGAGTAAGAAACACTATAGTGTAACAATAATAATTATTGATCGTGGAACCAAGGTCACCAAATTTTCCACTTTCACTGCAATTCTAGCTAGTTGCCAATTTTTTCCTTGCTATGGTGACCAAAATGGTTGCAGCTTAGAGTGCTGGTTATAAAATCTTTTCAGTCCTTATTGTTTTTAATCATCACCATGGAGAACAACTCAGACTTTGCTTATACCAGTAGCAGGCAGGTTACCTGTAACCTGTGAGCCTATTTAAAAAGTGGCCAGCTAGCTTGATATGAGTGACTGAAGCATCCAACACCTTACTGTTGTCTTGGAGGTGGTGGGTTCAAATCCCAGTACTTAAAGATGGTATTCTCTTTCTTAATTAAGACTGATTTGAGATGAGAAATTGTGATGTGTTATCTTATGTTTTTTGTCATTTTGGATAGATGATTGTGCTGTCATAGATGAAATTCAGATGATGAATGATAATGAGAGAGGCTGGGCCTGGACACGAGCTCTGTTAGGTTTGTTGTGCATTTTTTTCTCCTATTTTTTGCTCTATTCCTTAATTACATTTGACTTACTGAACAAGTTTTTTTTAACACCACACTGCTTTGTTTTTATCATCATTCTTCTATTGTGGAACCCTATTTGTCTTCCTTTTCCTTTGGAAATGATTTGTTTTCAATGGAATGTGACACAGAATGAAGATAAAAAAAGTTACATGTGTACAGGACATTTATTTACAGATAATATAGAGAAGTTCACCACTGAATATTCAATTTTACTTTTTACTTAGGTCTCCCATGCTTAGAAATTCATATTTGTGGTGATGGCTCAGCCATTGATCTGGTAAAAAGGCTGATATCTTCCTGTGGTGATGAATTAGAGGTAAATTAAAGTTCTACAACATTATTCATATTTAAGTAACATGAGCAGACCTCTTCCATATTTCCTCTTTGCCAATTTTAATAATGACTAACTTAGTTTTCAAAGTATGGTCAGAACAGTTTGTGCTTAGAATGTGTCTTAAAACAGTCTGGTCTTTTAGAAATGCCATTTCATATGCCTAGTATGGGAAATGCTTGCTACAGGTAATCGGGGGACCTGGTGACACTTTGAGTTGGGGCTGATTAATCCCAGGGTTTTCTAACAAAGCTTTTTGGTGGACAATTTTTTTTAGGTAGAACATTTGACTTGAGATGCACTAGTACTGCTATCCAACTTCTTTCAAGGTCCAGCTAATTGTTTTTGATAATGTTGTTTAAATACAGGTTCAGCATTATGAAAGACTCTCTCCTCTGACAGTAAGGCCTCATCATAGTCTAGGTAAGATGTTATATAGCATGTGTGCTTCCTTAATACTGGTGCCAGTTTTCTCTTGAATTAGCTTGGAAATCAGCCTGATTCTTGCATTTGGATTGTTGGGTTCGTTCTGTGGTTTAAGCCGATTTTTACAGCTGGTTGAAGCTAGCGATGTACAACAAGTGTTCTAATTCATGAAATTACAATTTTATACAAAATGTGGTAACAGGTTAAGTTCTCCAAAAGTCATCTCTCCCAAAGTTGTCCTTCAAAACCAGAGTTAGGTTGCCCAAGAAATAAAGTTGAATGAAGCAGTGTGTGGAATATATACCTCTTATTAACTGAGAGTGAGGTCAAATCTCAGACAGAGACCTTGATGTATTGACTGAGTGATAATGAGGTCAGTACATCAAGGCTGAGGTCGGAGATTTCCCCGTAATGACCAGATGGATGAGGTTAATAAGTTATTTATTATATGTTGCTTTATGAACTGAAACAAACCTGGCGATGTGATCAAAACCACAAGACACAGTTTCTTCGACAATAAGAATTTTATTGGACCTGAGCCTGCGATCAATTAAAACTAATAACTGGTCAGCGGATAAGTTTTAAAAACACGTCACCTCAATGAGTTAACACTTGGGTCCACGATACAGTCATCTGATACTGGTCAGTGGATACCTGTTAATTGACCTTAACATGCATGGTCCACTATCGAGTTAATGTATTTGCCTTGTACAACTAGCTAGTAATGTCCAGTCATTGCACGAAAATCTTGCCCGTTTAGCAGCGAATCAAAGAACGCGTTCTGCTGTAGCTATATAATAAACTTCCTTCTTTAAGACATGATGAGACGAAACAAAACCAACACCGCGATAGATGTGTAATAGGATGTTAGGATGTTGTTGAGCATGATAAAACACAACTCAGCATTTCAGTTGACTAACTATAAATTTCAGGCCACATAACTCTGCTTTTAGGGAACGTAACTTCGAAGGAGATGACTTTTGCGGAACTTGCCCTTAAACCTAAATTGCTGCACCTTCATGCTTTAATATCAGAACTGCTGTCTTATTTGACTATTGTCACTTTTTATTAAGATGGGAGGATCAGAAGAGTCAAGCCTGGAGACTGTCTGGTAGCTTTTTCTCAACGAGATTTGTACCAGCTAAGAAGAGAGATTGAAAAGAATAGTAACCAGAAATGTGCCATCATTTATGGTGGTCTTCCCCCAGGTAACTCCTAAAATTCTAATAATAATACATGCTTACATCATGTTTAAATTTCTCTTGTGAGAGATCGTGTATTTTTGATGGAAAAAGTTTTTTTTAATGTTGCTTAAAACACATGCAAGCCCTTACCCGTTCAGCTGCTCGTCTTTAACCTGAAGCAAATTTTGAAAAACATCGTAGAATTATTTCATGTGAAAAGGCTGCCATATTGACATCTTGAGGTTTTCCATTTGAAGTTTCTGCTGAAAACCTAGCCCCAGTTGTTCAAAAGGTGGATAAGGCTATCCACTGGATAGAAAAATTGGTTTCCCTAATTCCTATCCAGGCGCGGATCCACACTGGTTTCCACTGTTTTATGGAAATCGGTCTAATGAAAAGACTTTCCAAGTTGAAATCTGGTCAATATCCTGTCTGAATTACTTTAAAACCCAGGAAACAAGGAAAGGGGACTTCTTAAAAGGAGTAAAATCCCAAAACATTTCATCGGGGAGCCTGACGCCGGACCCCCTGGAAGTTTGTGCCTTCGGCTCTCGTTTAGGAAATCGGTCAGTATTGATCCGCGCCTTCCTATCCTGTGCCTATCAACGTCTGAACAACGGGGGCCCGGATGCTAAATGCTTATAATACGATAATGGTATACGTTTGTTGTAAGCATGTCACACTTCTTCTGTATTTTCTGTGCTATCCCTCTTTTATTAATACTATTATAATAAGGTAACAACTTTTAATTTACTTTCAACTCTTTCAATGTACAAGAGTATTTGTAAATGTCTTCTTTTGCAGCAACAAAAGTAGAGCAGGCAAATAAGTTTAATGATCCTAAAGATGATTGTTCCATACTGGTGGCCTCTGATGCTATTGGAATGGGACTCAACTTGTAAGTTCAATTTGTTGACTTTTGGGAGTGATCTTTAGGAACCTTGCGATCTGACGACGGCGACGGCAGTGAGAAAGTGCAAAAAAGCAATAGGTTTAATAGACAAAACAACAACTTTGTATGTGCATCAACTTTTGTTTTTCGTTTCTTTGCCGTCACTGTACGACTACGCTGTGATAGGCTAGGCTAGTCGTGAGACATTTTGCCTAGGTATTTGTCTAATTTCACGTTATATGGAGGACGTAAACAAGCGACCACAAGATTTTCTTTCCCTTTCTGAACCTGGACATGGTTCTTAGGATGTCAACTCCACAAGAGTTCGCATACATTTGACAAAGTGAGTTAGAATAATGGCGATCAAGATTGAAAAAAAAAGCGTATCCCCTTTTTAAACGCAGTTTTCACTGCCGTCGCTCACCTCGCGTCTTAAGGTCCCTTTTAAGTTTTTTTTCAGGAGAATTGGGTCTTAATTTGGCTTTTAACACTAGTGTCATTTTCTGTTTCTTTTCAGCTAAATGAACTACATTACAGTCTACCTCAAGATGAGTTTTTTTGACATTTTCTATTTCCCTTCTTTACAGAAATATTAAACGGATTGTGTTTAGTACTCTGATGAAGTTTGACGGGCAAAATATGGTACAACTTACGTCTACTCAAGCAAAACAGATTGCAGGGCGAGCTGGAAGATACGGTTCTAATCATCCTAACGGCGAAGCATTAACGTAAGAACCTAATTTTCATTAAATTCATGGGCTCGTCACTGACAAACTCAGTAGCAATGATTTTTTACTCAATATGTTGTCACTGCGTTCGACGTTAGGAGAACACAACTCCTAATCTTGGTATTCCTGCAGTACTTGGTGTCCCTGTGGTACTCAGGGGTGACCTTTTCGGCAATATTCGTCGTTCGTGGAATATAATCGTCCAGGAAGGTATAGCCCTGAGGACTGTTTTAAACTTGACTGATGTTTTGACAGATAGCCTGTGCACGGTTGCCCCCTCCCCTCAGAAAAAATCGGAGAAGTGGGCCCCTTCTCTGATTTTTTTTTTTAGGGGGAGGGGAGCGGCTGCATACAGGCTTTTGACAGATTGTGCGGAATTCATTACCAGTGTTGAAGAACTTGGTTCTTGAACTTAAAAATCAATTGGTTGACGTTGCAACTACATGTCGCTGCGATGAAAATTTATTTCTTTTGTAGACTGAGGAAAGAAGATGCTAATGTTCTTCACTCGCTGATAAAAGATCCACCACAAGAAGTTAAGGTAAATGTTTGTGGCTCTTCTCCATTTCTTCTTTTGGCAGCTACACGATATCAACTGAGAAGTTATAAAAAGTTTCTCGTAAAATTACCCTAAGTTTTTCAAGTTTGTCCTTTGCAATCCAAGTTAAATCTCTCCCATCCTCAGCCATCTTTACTCCTTTATAGTTTTTCTTTTTCCTTGGGGTTCTATTTTCCCAAATTAATATGTTGAAGCTTCCTTCGAATTCAAGGTTTATGTGTCGAACCTTAAAATATAAGGTCTCAAAGTAACGTTACAGAGGTGTTTTAAGTAGCCACAAAACTAACCAGCGTGAAGTTTACACGTGTTGATTTGAAGGTACTAAAAATTGTATCCGAAACACATCTAACGTCAACTGAGTAGACGAAAAAGACCTCCGATTGTATTTTTTATTTTTTCAGGCTGCAGGATTAGCACCAAGTATGGAACAGATTGAGATGTTATCTGAACAACTCCCGGATGCAAGTCTAGTCAAACTCTATGTAAGTTAACTCAAGCTGAGAAACTGGAAGATGTAAAATGGACAGGTTCCCCCACCTAGCTGTGCCTCTTATACAGAATCACAGTTTTTTTTCCTTGGGATACTGTACAAAGTGAACCCCAGAGAAGTTCATGAGCGGCTCGGTCTTTGCAATCCGACAACCATATTCATGTTCTTTCTAATTGAATTCGCCCTCTATTAAAACATGTCCATTGATTTGCCCGAATTGACATGCTGTTTATTTTTACATTGTAGGAAGTTTTTGAAAGCGTTGTTCAGTTGGATGGTGCCAATTATTTCATGTGTGATTTGGAATTCAAAAAGGTTGGTTTGTGCAGCTACAAAAAGTCCCCCTACTTTCACTTTTTAAAACTCAGTCTATAACTTAACTCCATTGTCTATTTTTCATTTCTGTCGTTTTTTTTTCTTTTTACGTTCTTCTCTAGAAAATCGCTCTCAAACTGCGTGGAATTCCCTTGAGCATAACAGAACAATACGTATTCAGTACCGCACCAATCGGCTCCAAGACCATCGAACTTGCAGTCAAGGTACCACATTTAAAATAATAATAATAATAATAATAATAATAATAATATTTAATACTTATATTGCGCTTTTTCTATAAAAATACTCAAAAGCGCATTACAATATTATTAATAACTAAATTAAAAACCAGTAAAATTACCCGATAAAATTACAATATTTAAAAATAAATAAATAAATAAATAATCTAACTAAAAGCCTTCTTAAATAAATATGTTTTAACAGAGCGTTTAAAAGAGTCGATTGATGTTTCCTGTCTTATTGGCAGAGGAAGACTGTTCCATAAAAAGGGGGCAGCCATCGATAAAGCGCGATCTCCCAAAGTCTTCTTCGTTCTTAGCCGAGGTCTTTCTAACAATATACCATTATTGTTGCGGCGTAGTTGGTAACGTGAGTCCGGTAAGACAGAGACAAGATCCTTAAGATAGCTAGGCGCAACACCGTGAAGAATCTTAAATGTAACAAGGAGAATCTTAAAATCTACGCGCAAGCGCACTGGTAGCCATTGGAGTTCTCTTAGCAAAGGAGTAACGTGACAATACTTAGGTGCGCAGTAAACCAATCGAGCACTGGCATTCATGACTCTTTGAAGTTTCTTAATTTGATACTCAGGAGCACCGTACAATAAACCATTACAGTAGTCAAGCCTGCTTGTGATGAACGCGTGATCAAGCCTCTCGGTGGACTCACGAGACAAATACTTCCTAATGTGCCGGATATTGTACAAATAATAAAACGCGCTAGCACAAGTCTTAGACACATGAGTCGACATGTCCAGATGAGAATCGAACCAGGTGCCCAAATTGCGCACTGAAGAGGCAGGCGATACCTCAGCTTGGCCGATCGTGATCTTGTCAACGGACACCTTTGATAACTGTCGTTCCGTGCCAATGATCAAGAACTCAGTTTTGTCGTCATTTAGCATTAACTTATCATCTCTCATCCATGCGCGAACGTCACCACAGAATGCACCACAGTAGAGTATTCCTCATAGTTTTTAACCGAATGGTCCCGTTTAAGATTTGGATCAAAATATAGAACCATTTTCTACAAAATTAAAAACTTTGATTTCATCGTCACACTTTAGCATTTTATGCAAAAACTACAAAGTTGATAGCCTGCTCCAGGCTGTCGGTCAGTCCTCAGCCCCCACGCGGATTTCGCTCAGTTTTTCCAGTACTTGACCCGCTTTCCTCACTATCTGGCGTGGAGCCTAGAACAGTGCTTCTGTCCAATAACTTTTCAGTTAGTTCCGTTTGAATGGTGATTCAAAAACTATGCTAGAGCCACCTTGTACAGCACAGTGCCGAATAGTACCACGGAGAAGTGCAGTCCAAGGTAGACACCTCCCAAAGGGTTGGTCACTGCTAGAGATCTTCAGTCCTTTACTTTTACTGTCTATAAGGCCAAGACCTCTCTAAGCCAAACACTTATTGCTGGCTCGAACGGTGTCCTTCTTAGCGTCTATTTAAGCCCGCGAGCAAGCTCTCTATTTGGCAGAATCGCGAGAATTCACGCAAGAGACGCACGCGAAACGAGATTTTGCTCGCAGGCTCCTTCTATTTAAAAGGTCACACTCAAAAATTTCGTTCTCAGATTCATAGCTTAGAATCATACCATTTGGCTCTGAGTTTTTAATCAAAAATAACATTGCTGAAATTTATTACCGACAGTTCGCCCAAAACGTGAGCAACAAACTACCCCTGACCTCCTCCATGTTAAAAAAGATAATCCAATGGCCTCCTAAGTCACCCAGGTCCCTGGAACAGCTGCAGAATTTGGAGGCACTACACGAGGGACTGGATCTTTATCTCTGGCTCAGGTGAGTCGAGGGTGAATGAGCCAGTCGTTATTGGGGTCTTTGCTGTATGTCTGAATCCTTTTTTTTCTTTTTGCCCTTTTACTCTTTCTTGTTTCTCATGGTGTTGTTGTATCCTCTTTTTTAACACTCGTAATTCTTGGTTCAATTCGTCTTTATTTATTAAATGTAAATTCGAGGACTTTTGTTGCTTGTCCCCTTGTTGCTGTTCTGCATTTTCTTCTGCTTCCTTAACATATGAGGTCTTAGTTCAATGCGTCTTAATTTACAAAACATAATCTTGGGCTCTAGTGCAGTAACTTTTAAGTAACTACTGGCCAACTCGAAAGCCTCTGCCACTTTGACCACTACAGTCATGCATACTATGAACTTTTTAAATTCCATTTTTTCTATTTATGGGTAGAAGCGGCTGACACCTCGATCCTTGGAAAAGAAACTTGCCCCACTTTGTCTGTCCTCACCCACAGGCTTTAGTAGTTCAAAAGGTGGATAACGCTATTGGCTAAGCACTGGATAAATCGCTATCCAGTGGATAGCGCAAAAATATTTCCCAAATACGTAGCCGCTTGATAGTGATTTATCAGGTGGATGGCGCTATCCAACGTTTGAACAACCGGAGCCTGTATAAATGGGCACCAGCGATATACTACCGGAGCTACGGCCATGGACTAGCAGTCACAGTCCTCTATTTTTCTGTAAGATCGTCGAAATCGAGCGCTTTGCATTACGGGCTGCCAGCCCATCTTGCATGAGTGTCAAGACTACTTTATAGGGACGGAGGCGGTTTGGGAGGAGGCGGGAATTCGCCCCCCCCATAGAGCTATAATCCTCGACGCCGGCCCCCTCGGTACATTTGAAAGTCAAGATGGCCGCCATTAACGGTAAGAGGCGCTATATCTCGACAATGTCCCGAAAAAATAGGGGACTGTGAACAGTCTACGGAATTTAGCGCCGGTCGTGTGGGCATAATGGTTCATGGGCCCTTTATTTTACCCTTACATTTGTACATGTATCTTTGAGCAACAATTACATTGTTCAATTTCAAAAGCGTTCAAGTAGTATTATTGTCCAAATAAACTTTATTGTCGTAGTTACCGTATGTCGCACATATTTGTGGATGTGGAGAACGCCTGTGAAATGCAGCAAATCGTGGAAGATATCATAGGAGACGCCGTGGAGTCCAACACGCTTGGAGTCATACAGCAACGCCGCAGACGAACACGTCTGAATGACAGGAAGTTGGAAAAGTGGTTCAAGTATCGTTAACTTGGGTACGTTAGGATTCAATTACTCAATATATGTACCAAGCAGTTGTTATGCAAATTAGCCTGTGTATAGAGTCCCCCTCCCCTCAGAAAAAATCGGATAAGGGGTCTTTCTCCGATTTTTTTCTCAGGGGGGAGGGGGGGGGGTCTGTATACAGGCTAAAACCGGCCGTTGTCGAGGTTATTTTGGCAGTTGGGGACACGTTTTAGCGGCCGTTGCTGTTGTAGAGAGGTGGCCGTTGCAGAGAGGTTTAAGCAAGAGTCAATGTATAAACTGTCCGCAGGAGCAAAGAAAGCGGCCGTTGTAGTGAGTTGGCCGCTGTGGAGAGATGGCCGTTAGTGGAGATTCGACTGTAGTTGATTGACGACGGCTGCCACGTTTTCCCGCCAAAATGACGCTCGTTCACGCGCGCGCACCACTTAGTGTTGAGAAAATCTTTAAAGAAAATCTCGTTGTCGTACTCGTCCTCGTCCTCGTCCTCGTCTTAGAATCTTCAAGGTCTCAGTAGCGATCGTAGAACGTAGCACCTGGGAAAATACTGAAATAAACCCAACTTTAACCTTTGGTAAATCGTCCTCTTCCTATGCTTTCTTTGCAGGAAAATTCTGTCAATTGGTGAAATTTTCTTATGGCCTGTCAAGGACACCTACTTAATGGCATCCTGAGACTCGAAGTGAACCTTTAACCATTCATGAAAAATGTGTACGGTTTTTGGTACTTTTTATTCAACGTTCACCGACGCAAGTTTAACATCTAAATGCGATGGTGATGTTTGGTCATATTTTTGTAGCGACGATATATGCGTTTCAATAAAAATATATATTGAATAATAAGAAATAAATTATCACATCAGGGGTAGTTACGTTGTCTGTGACAATATTAGGCTGATTTAGCTACAGAACGGGAACGTCAGTTGAAGACGGCGCGCGCAAATCAATCAACTGGATTGACCAATGGCAGAGCGGCAAATTGAGCACCGGAAGTCGTGTTTAGTCCTTTCCGCGCGCTTTCCTGTCGTCAACTGACGTTCCCGTCCTGTTGCTAAATCAGCCTATTTTCAGTGTTAAAGGAGACGTTCTGGTCTAATGCTTCTTTTTTTCATGTAGTACAGTCGAAGCTCTCCTTGCGACTACTCTCGTAAACGACCAGCTCTAGTTACGATCACCATTGTGAAACCCCGTTTGTTAAACATTGTAATGGAAGGCTCTCTTAAGTGAGCGCTCCCGTAAGCGACGGCGACCACTTTTAGGATTACCCAACTGCACTTTTCCTTTTTTTTTAACGCTCTCGTAAGCGACCACTCAGAGTCTTATTCATATAAATCAACACTATGAAATTGCACACTGCGTTAATGGTCGAAAAAATTGGATGTAAAGTTTAGCCGTGTCCATATCAGATATAAAGACACTCATTAAACATTATTCAAAAAATTACTTTTATTTTTTCTTTTTGAATTCTCAATGAGTTTCTGAATCTCTCGTTAGCGACCACCCTCTATTGTTTTATCATGATGAGCTCTCGTAAGCGACCAGCTCTAGGTACGACCACTTTTTCGAATTTCCGAAGTGGTCGCTTACGAGAGCCTCGACTGTAATAAAATAACAAAAGTGATAAACAAACAGCTAGGGAAATAACTTGTAGCGGGGAAATCTCAAACAAGCGAAGAGTTTATAGGAGGTAGATTAGTAGTATAGGGCACACCAAATTAACCCGTTTTTGCGTACGCAGGAATACATTAACGCCGATGAGATTATAGCCTTTTGGTACACTTTTGGTTTTGACATTCTTGACAACTAAAAAAGAGGGTTATTTCATCATGGTGGAGGTACGTTAGTATCAGTGAATCTGTGAAGAACCCTCGACGTGACCAGAATTCGTCATTTGTCTCCCTTTGTACTTTTAGGGAAAGTACCACGAACAAAGTTTCCATTTCGGATTATACGTTTAACTTTGTTCTCTTGGTCCCAACAGGAGTTGAAAACAATGCTTATGCAAAGCTTTGGAGGGAAGTTCAAAAGGGCATATTATATTCGCGTTTAATGGAGAAACAAGAGTTTGTCAGTGGGGTGTGAGACTCGTACCCAGTCACTTTTATGTGTTTTGGGGGTGAGAGAAGATTAGGGTTAGGTTGAGGCGCGCGAGTACTCAGAGCGAGCGAAACGCAAGCGCGCTTGAAAATCACCCCACGCGAGAAAGGTGAGACGAGGCGGGGAGAGAGAAAGACACGCCTTTCTCCCCACCTCGTCATCGCAAAACTCGCCATGACATTCACCGAAGCTGTATGATATTTATCGTTAAAATAATACTATATCTTCTTTGTTTGGTCATGGCTTTTGCTTGAATGGCCGGCTATATACCCTCTCAACATTCTGGGCATTCAAGACATATAATTCCGTTACCCTGTGGGTGAAAGTAACGACGAAACCAAATAGCATCGGGCGTCCATCTTGGTGCTTCGCGGCAAACTCTGTAACCGGATGTGATGTCATAAATCGGTGGATCATAGGTATACGAAATTTCGCTAAGTCGTGCCCCCCCTAAGTCGTGCCCCCCCCCCCGTTCGGAAACTAAGGAGTAAGATTTGGTTTTGATGGTAAATATTAATCTGCAATTTTGACGGTTGACGGTAAAATGTTTGGGACCTTTTTCGACGGCGGTTTGACGGCTGACGGTAACGTTAAACCCGATAAGACAGATAAGGTATCAAGGGGTTTAGAAACTGGTCGTTTCGATACGAGCTTAAGCAGTGAAACTGAACAACAACTTCGATAAAATGGTCGGAACGAGCTGTAAGTAAGGGGGCCTTGAAGGGGTTGGACCTCGGAGTGGAGCCTCCCTGTATGTTATATAACCCCGAAAAACTCGCTCAGACTAAGGGCCAACGCCAGCTTCCAGTGCCGTAGCCAGACCAAACGGCCAACCGAGGCAGGCGGGAGTTGCTAGGGGGGTTCGGGGGCATGCCCCCCCGAGAAATTTTGAACTTTAGTCTCTCGGAAATGCGATTTGCAGCTTTTTCTGGGCCTTTCGGTAACTTTTTTTCGAGTTAATTTAAGTGGAATTTAAAAAGCAATATTCAAAAACAAGCTACATAATCTGGGTGACCGTTAACCTCGCCAATGGTTTTGATCAGTATTTGTTCCAAAAAAATTTGAGTTAACGTACGTAGCCCCTTGAGATCGATGATATGGTAATTTTTTTATAGTATATTGACTGAATTGCTGAATTCTTTGTAATATCATGATGCGTTAAAAATATCCGATGATCGCTTATGTAAAATAAAAATGATCGGCGAAATTCGTCACAATTTTACCGAGGCGAGTGCCTCGGTTGGCCTCATACTAGCTACGGCGCTGGCTTCTCATTCCCCCTACGATGGCAAATCTTCCTCGCTAGCGAGAAGCCCCCCGGAACCCGGACTTCGATGTAGGCCTGGTAGCTAGCACCGGTACGACCGGAGCTCTTGGAGACGCCTGGGGGCTTTTGACACCTGCTCACACAGCTTGGTTTTGTTCTGCGATCCCCCGGATTTCTCGTCCGGTTATTAGAGCTTATTTGTCCTGTAAAAGCTCTTCGACTGCAAGGATTTTCTCCACTAGAATGTTTGTGCGCGATACTTCAGTGAGTATTAAAGGCAGTGCGTCCTCGCTCTGCAATAATCTGACGGTTTTGTCGTCAAGGGAGAAAGAGTCGGTGACTTACGGTGTCGTTCACAAGGCGTTTGTTTGCATTACCAACGTTACGAAGGGAAGCGCCGTAAATCAGAAACAAGTATCTTGTAAAGGAGAAGGAGCTCATAGTAGTTCTGCTGTGTTACAAGTAAGTGAGCTGGCTGTTTATGCAGTCAAACTATTATGTACATTCAGTCTCCCGTGATGAAAATATATTCGAGAATCGTTGAATAAATAAGCGCTTGAAATTGGGATCGGATCAGATTCAGAGTCGCATAGAATTACGGCTTATTAGACGAAACAAACACTTCTTTTACAAAAAATCGAGAGGTTCACGGCTAAACTATATAGCGTAAGCTTAATCCATGCAAATCAACAGCACAACTTTACTTTTGATAGTTACCGGTGGTAAGTCTGTCTAGATCTACAGAATTAAGCGGGCGTTTTGTTTGTTTCTCCGATTTTGATAGATGTCTTTACAGTTAGTTTTTCTTTCAAATTTAAACGAAATGCATTGGGAAGTAAGTAAAAATATGTATATTTTATTACTCAGTTGAATTTTTGTTGCCATTTTCTAAATTAACATAGTTATTTTTTTAAAATTTCTAGTAGTTGAATGGTAATCGCTTGTCACCTCCAAATTTTACATTTTGGAACGTCCATTTAAACATAAGCAATGAAATGATACATGCAGAATTGTTCAGCCTAACAAAACATGAGTATCACCTGTTCTTAGCAGGAAGTCAGTGCAAGGACTTTCCCTCTCTATCTTGAACCTGCTACTGCCATTATTTTGTTACCACGTTAGTATTTTTTTCAAGTGGTCAGTTTGGCAGATATGTTAAAAACTTGCCCTGGCTAAATTGTTTTTACTGGTAATCATTGCTTCATAGTCATAATAAAGGCAACGACTGGCACAGAACGACACAATCTGTGTCTCAAGAGTGTCCTTATTTAAGGATGTTATCATTTTAAATGTGGGAGAATGTTTGGAAATTGTGACTTGGCAGTGTATTTTTGCACTTGCCCTCAGTGGATTTGCAATACTCCACAGATACATTTTCCAGGTTCGGGAAAAGTTCAATCACGTTTGTTTATTTTTAAAAAATTTTAAAACTAAACTAGTGAGCAGCACTCTGCGATCTGTTGCTGTTAAACTTGTTTATCCTCCTATGTGTTTCGTCTAACTAACGTAGACTTCTTCAGGGAGTTTTACAATCAAATACTAAACGCCTGTATTTAAGCCATAATATGACTAAAAATAATGATGGTCACAAACATTGAAGGTTTGGCCGGATTTACGAAAAGGAACAGGTGCAGCTGTGAAATTTTTATGCAAGGCATGAGAAAACTTTGGGGCCACCGTTTTAACTAAAACTGTGGCCCCAAAGAGCATAACCCTAGTTGCTTAATCAGCTTTTATGGTTGGCAGAAAGCCAAACCTCACGTGAGGTCTTGGATGTTAAATTCAAAAATTTCTCAAAAATGAGTTGTCTAGTGTAGAGGGTGTCCGAAAAGTTCGTTCCTCTACTTTATAAGTCTGTATTTCAGTAAGATTGGACTTGCTAAGCAAATCATTTGAAGAAAAGCTGTGTGTTTCAATCTAATTCACTATTTTCATACTGATGGTGCCATCTTTTGACTTGAATATTCGATTTGTGTACTTCCGTGCCAAAGGTGCCCGTGCGCGTTTTTTTCCCCAGCCACGTATTTTTTGTATTTCATAGCCCGAATTACTCGAACTCCTTCCTTGTTTTTTTGTGAATATCAAGAAAGATAAACTCCCTTAACGCAAAAAAGTTCAGCCACGTGAGAGCATAAGCATGTATACTTCGATTTACTGGCCTATCTGTTGTAGAAACTGCTTAAAAAACTGGAAAAATTCGAATGTTGGGTGGTAAAATGATCATGGAGAAATGGAAGTTTTGAAGGCAAGAAACGAAGGGGAAGACCAAAAGTCCTGAATAAAGAAGCCAAAATAGTTTTGAAGAAGGCTAGATACAAAATAGGAGACTCGACAAGGAAGCTCTCACATAGTTAACCAGCCAAGTCCAGAAAGGGTCATGAAAAGGTGTTTAAAATGTTTAAATTTAATGGCCTCTGAGGTGGCAAAAAAAAACTCTGCTTTGTCTGCCAAGTAACCCCCAGCTCGTCTCAAATTTGTAAAGAAGTACAAAAGCCTTGCTGTGGAAGGGGGTGGGGATGATTATTGTTTTTGGATGAATGCCCAAAATAAATTTTTTTCAGCTGTCTAAACTAAACAAATATTGTTTGGGGGTTGAACTGGCTCCTGCACACCAGGTGATGAAAAAGCTCCAAATGGATCATCTGTGGGTCTACTGTATCCCACTTCAAGACGCACCGGCTACAGAATGTGATAAAAAAAACAAAAAGGGCATGCCAGTTACTGAAATTCTGAATATGTGTACTCGATAGAGAAATAAACATCTTGTAGAAATTTTCATGTAAAAATAAAGTTTTGATCAAACGTTATAGTGCATGAAATTAGAGGAATGAACTTTTGGGACACCCTGTACAAATTTTTGTTTTATCATACTCATCCGAACCATGTTATGGCCATCTTGGGCTACCTGACCACTGCTAATATGGATCCCTGTGTCTGCTGATACATGTAGACATTTGGCTAAAGCTTGACCTCAAAGATTCTTACCATTTTTTCAAGCAAAGATTTTCTAACTCAGTCAGAATAGAATCTGAATATTTTGC